TAAAGCCAAGTTCATTCTAAGACTGGCCTTTTGAGGATTATTTTTCTATCATCTGACTGAAAGGTATAGAAGCACATCGTAGTGAAAGCAAACTCCATGCCTCTGGAATGCTCTGTGGATCAAGGAGCTTCTATGTTTAAAACAGAAAACACATCAAATCAAAGGCTCTACTGGCCTGGAACAAATAGTCTGCTATCGGTGATCACTCCAGTGAGGGTGGGAAAGTGGACACAGAGACTTCTCTGCAGTGGTGCAGGGTCCTCTTACCTGAGGTACTGAGGCTTCCTGATGTGAGTTTTCTCTGCCGGTTTTCCTGATAATGTAACAGGTGAGACCACAAGGCTGATTTCCCCTGCAATCAATATGGAGAGAGAAATGTTTGGATTTTAGTGGCCAAAGTTTTCAACCTACAGATACTGCTAAAAGTGTCTGTATTGTTTCTTGTTTGAATCTCACAGGCACACAATTTATACAAAATAAACCCTTACTAAAATGTAGGAGAAACATAAAAAGTGCAAAGGAACAGAAAAAGGAATGGTTCTCTTCTGAGAATTGCAAACAGTTGTCCAAGATGGGTTGGAAAGGGACCACAAGAAAGAATCTATCAATCTCTAAATGACCTGGTAGCTGAAAGTTGGCATGGGCGGAGCAGGAGGGCTTCTGCACAGTGGAGTGTATATATACCCAGTCTATGAGATTCTATGAAAGCCTTTGAATTCCTAAAATATATAAAGGATCCCTGTCCTTAATACAGGCTGGAGAGGCTAACATCCCTATGATGAGGATTTGTTACTAATGGGCTGAGATAAACTATCATCAATATAATAGAACCCTGCCATTTGGAAATGTAAGAGCTGCAATTTAAGCTATGTAAGAGACAAAGCTATTTGTCATTTTGCCAAAGTACAAATCTGAATAGTATTTGCAATCCTGAGAAAAGGAGAAATTCACCCTTGGGTGAATGAATTCAGCTGGCCACCTGTGGCCATTAATCATGATTGTCAACTTGACTGGCTTAATAAATGCCTAACAGGTTGTGTCTGTGGGGTGTTTCCAGAGATGACTGGAATGTAGGCCAACATAAAAACCCATTCTGGGTGTGAGTGGCATCATTCTGATAGACTTACAGCCCAGAGGGAATGAAAGGGGAGGAAGAAAGAGGAAGGCAGGCTGGTGTGAAAAGCCCCTTCTGCTTGAGTGGATGTGTCCTTGCCGCTGCCATCGTCTGTGGACACCTGACTCCAGTTTCTTCAGCCTTTCAACATGGACTCACACCAGCAACCCTCCAGACAGATTCCAGGTCTTCATTCAGTCTTGTACTAGTGCTGCATCCTTCATCTTTCTTGTTCTGTGACTTTCAGCTTCTTGGACTGAGAAATTACTGGATCTTTTGATCTCCAATGTGGGCTTTCCCACCTCTAATGCTGTAAGCCTGACGAATGAGTCCCCTTGCATAATTTTATACACTTTTTCCCTATTGATTCTGTTCCCATAGAGAACCCTAACCAATACACAACCCCAGCTTTTGTCTTTTATTTTTGAGATGTGGGTTCATGTTGCTCAGGCTGGTCTTGAACTTTTGATCCTCCTGCCTTGGCACCTCAGGGAGCTGGGACTACAGGCACATGCTACCACACCAGATTCTTCATCTCTAATGATCCTTCAGTATATCATGATGATTTTTAAATGATGAAAACTTTCAGATTCATGATATTTTTATGTGGTGGATATGTTTGGCTTAGAAGTAGGATTTATTATAGTATAAACTTAGCTCTGTATTGAATAAAAGTAAAACTAATGATAGATGCTATCATGTCTCAAGGCTTGCTGTTTTTTATTTTGTTTTGTAGTACAGGGGATTGTGTTAGACTACATACCCAGCCCTTATTTGTCATAATCTTTTATTTTGAGACACAGTTTTCTTAAATTGCCCAGGCTTGGGTCAAGCTTGCGATTCTCTTGCCTCATAGCCTCCAAGAGTGTTAGGGTTACAGGTGTGCCCCTCCATGCCAAACACAAGGCTTATTATTAATTAAGCACCACGTTAATTGTTTAAAATGCAGTCTCTTAATTAACACTCAGTAATTCTACAGGGTAGGTACTTTTACCCCATTTTCTTTTTTTTTCTTTTCTTTTTTTTTTTTTGTGTGTGTGTGCGCGCGTGTGTGTGTGTGGCCAGCTCAGCCCACCAGGGGGCGTGGCTGGCTGGCATGTGGTGCTGGGGGATCGAACCACGGTCCCTGTGCTTTAGACTAGCTTGTTCCAAGTAGGTGCTTTAGACCACTGAGCCATCTCTCCAGCCCCATTACCCCATTTTCTTTACAGTAGAGCAAATAGTGTGAAGATTTAAAGCCCTGTGATGAATGTGAAAATTTGAAGGCTTAAAATTTATCTCATGAGAATAGCAAAGACCTATTTTGTTTCTATTCACCAACTTGATCAATTAAAAAAAAAATTCAAACATCTGGATGGGGGAGAACCCAAATAAATCTGCTGTATGTTTGGGCATCTTATAAGATTTAATGCAGGGCTGGGGAGATGGCTCAGTGGAATAAGTGCTTCCCTGGCCAAGCGCAAGGACCTGAGTTCAATCCCTGGTTCCGCCAAAAAAATAAAATTAAAAAAATAAAATAAAATTAGAAAATACTATTTTTATTCATCAATATATATTTGAAAACATAAATTTTTAGTAACTTAATGAGACAACTCCCATGAATTGATACTAGGAAAATATATTAAGATTTGTAGAAGATAATTTGAGAGCTTAAAATAGTCATGCCCTTTGTTTGACTAAATTCAACATCTAGAAATCCATTTACTAAAACCATTACAAAGTGGGCTCCTGGAAGGGTAGGGATTATACCTTAATTCATCTCTAAATCCATACTACCTAGACAGACAAGGAAGAAAGCTTAGTAGAACCTAATGGAACTGTCCATTTGATGTGACACACATGAAATGAGCTGGTCAGCAGAGAGCCCTCACATGCAATGCCACTGAAGAGCAAAGCCAGGCCACTACAGCAGAAGGAGGAAGCCCCAGCTCATGACAATGGTGAGGAGAAAGCAACAGCAAAATGTCAGAGGTAGGGGCTACTCTTCATCTTCTTTTGCAGAGGTGCTGCCAGGGACTGCAAGGTTCATTATAGCTCAATGGCCCATTTAGAGGCGTGCCCACACAATATACAACACCAGATTCTCCAAGAACATCATATGGATGAAAAGATGAGAAACACCTTTTCACATACCAGTTCCCAATTATGACAGTTACAAAACCAGTATGAAAAGCCAAATCTCACCTCTAATAGGTAGAAAAGCACAGGAGAAAAAAAAAAAAATCCTTCTGGGGGCCTGGCCCTAGCTCAGTTCTTTAAGTGGCTGCTTCCACAAAGCTGTCAGCCTCAGGTTGCTGGAGTTCGATCCCCACAACACTTCAGCCAGCCAAAGCACCCCTGAGGGCATTCAGAGCCAAAAAAAAAGAAGAAAAAGAAAAAGAAAAAGAAAAAGAAAAAGAAAAGAAAAGCATAGGAGAGAAAAACTTGTCTCCTTCACTGACAGAAGTAGTGAGGATAACAGGTTCTTATAAAGACTTACTACAGGCAGCTGTGCATGCAACCAGTAAAAGATACCAAGAAAATACTGGAAGTCCTTAGCAAAGCCTGTTATTTTCACTGTTTTCCAAGCAGATACTTTGTGTAGTTGCTCAGTAAGGTGCCCCAGGTGGGAGCAGTAAGATCACACAGAGAATGAACCTGGTCACAATCTGGGTCCACAACATACAGCAAGCAGCCAGGGTGAGACCACTGGACTGGAGCATAACTAAAGAATTTTTAGCAGGAGAAAGGAGTTTTGCACACAGCTAGCAAAATACAGCATAAGAACATGGGGGTGAGACCTCGAGTAAAGCTACAGCTAGACATGCATCCCTGAGGCCACAAAAGCTCCGGCAGAAAACACAGAGCCTCGCTGTCCTCTAGTAAGAGTGTCACTGCTTCACATTTTGAACCCTGAAGTCCAGGAATGAACAAAATAGAACCTCTCATAAATTGTTTTGCACTGGTTTCTCAGCAAAGCAGCTGCCTGTCTAGCCAAAATGAAGAGATCATCAGAGCAAAAAGAAATTCCCGTGCTATGAGAATTTTGGAGGTTACTGCTAAGCCTCAGAGAACAGTTTTAGGGTTTATAAATGATATGGTACTATTTTTCAAACTGCAGAAACAAGCCTCACTAATTCCCTACAGATTTATTTTTACTTTTTTAAGATAATATCTTGGTAGCTTGCCAGGGCTGGTCTCACACTCCTGGGCTCAAGTAATGTTCTTGCCTTAGCCTCTCAAGTGCTGAGATAAGGCATGTACCACTGTAGTTGGCTTATCTGTAAAGATTTTTATGGTAAATATTAAAGTTTTAGGGTCATATATCTTATAAAAAATCTGAATAAAAAATCTGAAAAAATTCAACTAGTGCCAACCTTGCTAACTTTTAAAAAATGGTAAATGGATGACGTATATTCTATTTACTTGTTACAGAGAAAGAAATTCTTCAAGTAGAACTAGCATAGTAAGAGCTGTCATGTGTTACGTACTCATTATATCCCAGTTCTTATTTTTATTATACCAAGTCATCACACCAACCCTGAAAGGTAGATTTTATTAACTACCTATCTTTTATATACTAGAAGGCAAGGCTCAGAAACATTTATGTAAGACATTTATTTAAAGTCTTCCTTCCAGTTGTGCTAGGACTCAAAGCCACGTCTTTCTGACCCAAAGTTCAAAGTGTATTAATACTGTATTATATTATAGGACTCTCACAATTTTAGAGATTCAGTATACAGTTTTTAACATTTTAAAAACTCCATAGTCATAGCTTTTTGAAAAATAATGAAAGGTTTGAAATAGCCCAAATGACCATAATGGAAAACTGATTAAAGCATGACATCTATATAATATAGTAAGTAAGGGCCAGTCAGATAGCTCAGCGGACCAAAGTGCCTGGTTAGGCAGAGCACAGCGACCAGGGTTCAGTCCCTGGTGTGCCATGCAGGCCCTGCCCACAGGGCACGCTGAAACAGCAATTGAGACTGGGTGTGGTGGCATGTGCCTGTCATCCCAGCACTTGGGAGGCTATAAATAGATGGATCACTACTAGTCTGATCTAGTAGTGAGACCCTGAACACCCTGTAGACCCTTCCCTAAAATACAAAAAATTAAACTAAATTAAATTAAACATTGTAGAAAAAATAACTACTATCATTTACAGAGAAACTCTCAGACACTGTTTGTTTCCCCGTTTGTACTGGGAATTAAACTCAGGACCTTGCACTTGCCAGGCCAGCGCTTGTGCCACTGAGCGTATATCCCCAGCCAACACTGTATATCTATGCAAATAAGACCTAACCAAAAAACATGTCCTAATATTTTTTTCAGCATGCTGATAAAGTAAGCCCTATGCCCAAAATAAGCCCCAATTAAGATAGTCACATTTAGGATAGCCACTGTAACATGTAATAGATGCACTGAATTACAAAATAATATATGATTAAAAAAAAAAAAAAAATATATATATATATATATATTATTGACATTAATACTTACATGATAAAGTATTTATAAATACCCAAGCAGGCACCTATGGATAAGAGGTAAACACCCCGGTAAACAGATGAGCTCAAGACTGAATGCCAGGGGCTGGCGAGATGGCTCAGTGGTCTAAAGCACCTACTTGGAACAAGCTTGGCAAAGCACAGGGACCGCGGTTCAATCCCCCAGCACCACATGCCAGCCAGCCCCGCCCCCTGGTGGGCTGCACTGGCCACACACACACACACACACACACAAATAAATAAATAAATGTTTAAGAAAATAAATAAATAAATAAATGTTTAAGACTGAATGCCAAGTGACCAAGCTAAGTTCAGACCACAATGCACAAACAACATGTGCATCTGAGGACAAATGGACATGTTTGGCTCTAATATGAGTTTTCATAATTCAATACATTGTGTTAGAGCAAAATACTTAATTCACTCATGTAAAAATAAAGAAATATTTTCTAAATTTTGGTGTTTTCAATTTTTCATCACTTTTGTGTAGACCATCATTCTTTATGTGTCATCATTTTTGTTATCACACCTGTTTTGCGAAGCATCAATTAACACTTGATTTAATGGAAATTTTATGAGGCCTAGCCTGCAAGAGCTCATGGCTTGGGTGAAGAATTCAAGGGATAACATCACTGGCAGCTGGCTGTGTCGCCAAGGCACTAGGAGCAGAGTACATGGAAAAGAAGAGCTCGATTAAGGAGCGAGCTATGGCTGGACATGACAGACTGGGGCCAACGACTCTACAGGAAATGGTATTGCAAGAAGTCCAGGCCATGGGGCCAGGGAGATGGCTCAGTGGAATAAGCACTTTCCTGGCAAGTACAAAGGCCTGAGTTCAATCCCCAATTCCGCCAAAAAGTCCAGGCCAGAATTCGGGGTTTGAAGAGTTATGACAATGTTGCAGAAGATGACACCAGTGTATCTGAATAAATACAGAATGTTGTACATGAACAAATATAAGTTGTTACACATGAAAAAATAAGACAGCCCCTGTGTCTTTTAGAGCAAAAATCAATAAAAGACCTGGTCTTATTTTCAGGGAAATATGGTAGTAGGCTCTGAGTTTAGGGCAGTGATGGCAAACTTTTTAGAGATTTCAATGATACAACCAGCACACTGTGCCAGGTGTGCCATAGGTTTGCCACCACTGGCTTGGGGCTTTACATTTATCCTACCAAATCCTTTAAAACTCCACTGCACCTATGAGAAAGCAGGCATAGACTACATATCTTGTTTAGTTTCATTAAAGTTATTATGTGAGAATTATATTTCAAAGCCACACCTGATTTACTGTATAAGCACCATTTTCTGTACCCCCATAAATTCTGATTTTTAGTATATTTTCAGAGTTGTATAACCATTACCACTATCTAATGTTAGAAAATTTTCATCGCCCTCAAAAGAAATCACATACACTTGGGCATTGACTACCCAATCTTCCCTTCCTCTAAATCTTTAGCAATCTCTAATCTACTTTCTATCATGAACTTGCCTATTCTGGACATTGTATTTAAATGAGAAGATATAAAAGGCTTGGTGGCACAAGCATCAGGAAGCTGAGGCAGGAGAATCACTGAGGCTGGGGAGATGGCTCAGTGGAATAAGCGCTTCCCTGGCAAGCGCAAGGGCCTGAGTTCAATCCCCGGTTCCACCAAAAAAAAAAAAAAAGTAGGATAACTGAGAGTTCCAGGATCAGTTCAAGGTCATCTAAAAAGACAGCAAGATCCTGTCTCAAAAATAAATACCTAAATAAGTGAATGAGAAAGTATAATATGTGGTCTTTTGTGTTTGGCTTTACTTAGTATATTTTCAAGTTTATCTGTGTTTATCCATGAGTAGAACGCTCTACTCATGAGTATACAGCTGAACATGCTGTTAGGAGCTGGGGCCTGGTCAGAAGAGGTGGTTCACTCAAGGGGGTGACTTGGAAGGCGGTGTCTCCCTCCCTGTTCCTCCGATCGCTCTTAGCTCCCTGACTGTCACAGGTGAACATAACCCGAGCCCCCCAGGCCCCTATGCCATCCTGTGTCTGTCTTGAAATCAACAACCATGGACTAAAATGTGAACCAAAATCAACCTCTCCTCTCTTAAATTGTGGGTGTTGGTGTTATGTTCCAATGACAAGAAAGTAACTAAAACACCAGGTCATATGACAACTAATATTTTGAGGATCTACCAGACTGTTTCCTCAAGGAGCTATACCATTTTACATTCCTACTAACTGTACAAAGTTTCCAACTTCTATCTTTGACAATACTTGTTACTGCTTATTTAAGCTATCATCGTGGGTATGAAATTATAGTTTACTAAATAAATACAGCTATATATGGTATGTGCACAGAAAAGTGTTTCTAAAGATAGATGGGGCAGGCTGTTACCACATGCATTCAAATGGGAGTTCCAGGGAAGCAGAGTTCTTGGTCTCTTTTTCTCACTGAGGTATCAACTCAAGTGTATTCTATAGGACCTCAGTAAATTACTGGGTAAACACAAATTATTTTTCCATTCAAAACTTAAGAGAGTTTCTTTCTAATTTGAAAGTATATAGGGGCTGGCAAGACAACTTGGTGGTCTAAGTGCCTGCCTGGCATGCCCAAAGACCCAGGTTCAATCCTCAGTACTACACATGGTGCTGGACCCAGAACCCATGCCATGCCAACCACAAAACCAGGCATGGTGGCACAAGCCTATAATCACAGTGCTGGAGAGGCTGAGACAGGAGGATCACTACAAGTCTGAGCTGTGTAGCAAGACACTTACTAAAATAAATAAATAATGAAGTATTAAAAATAAATTTTAAAAATAATTATATATATACACACACACACACACACACACACACACACAGCTGGACAGGGAAGAGCTCACCTGTAATCTAAGCCCTCAGGAAGCTAAGGCAGAAAGAATATCTCAAGTCAGCCTGGGATCCACAGTGATTTCTAGGCCTGCCTGAAGTACATAGTAAGATTCTGTCTTAAAAAGAAAAAGGACTGGGAATACAGCTTAGTGATTTAAGCACTTGCCTGGCAAGCACAAGGTCCTTAGTTCAACTCCCAGTACCAAAAAAAAAAAAGTAAGTAAAAATAAAAGATGCCTTTTTTTTTTTTTTTTTTTTAATATATTTAGTACAGGGTCTACAGAGTCTCACTGCACAGATCAGACTCGTAGTGATCCTCCTGTTTTCAGCCTCCCAAATGCTAGGATTACAGGCACGCGCACACCACCATGCCCAATCTCAGTCCCTGGCTCAGCGTCCCCAAGGGGCAGGGCTGGCATGCACATCTGGGATGGAACCCTGGTCCCTGCATCTGCCTAAGCAAGTGCTTTAGTTTGCTGAGCTATCTGGCTAGCCAAAGATGCCTAGCTTGACCACCAGTTGAAAATACAGTAATATAGTTTGTTTTGGTTTTTTTAAAGGAGACTGGGTGTGGTACCACTTGCCTGTAATACCAGTACTTGGGAGGCTAAGGCAGGAGGTCTGCCATGAGTTTGAGGCCAGCCTCGACTCTACAGTGACTTAAAAATCAGCCTGAACTAAATTGATTAATTAATTTTCTGGGTATTAAGTGGTAAAAGGCAAACACTTCTTAAATACTTCTCTCAAATCTTTAGAAGGTTAAACCAACTCCTTACAAAAAAAAAAAAAAAGTCAATGACAGACCTTGATCATGTACAGTTAGTGAGGATCCTAGTACCTCCCAAGCTCCAGCTCTCTCTCTCTGCTCTATCTTCATGCAAGGGCCAGCTGCCAAACAAAACCTATTAGACTTATCTTTAACTATACTTGGAGGAAGGAAAACATCATTTGCAGTCTGACAAACTCAGATTTATGAAGCTCATTTTTAAGAAAAACCATTTGGATCACATTTGTTCAGTGACTTCAAGTCTCATTCTATGAGCACTGTGGACATTCTTCAAAGCCAGCCAGTTGAAGAAATGAGGTGGGGAGGAGGGGATGTGTTTGAAGGCAGAGGAGTATGCTTCATAAAAAAAGGCCAGATGCCCCTTACCTGCTTCACCTGAAGCCCGTGACTCCAGATTCTCTCCAGGAGGTCACAGAGGCTGGCAATCAGAGTGTTCTCTTCCACACCAGTGATGCTTGCTTCCCCATGCCCGAGCTCCACAGCCTCACGGCCCATCTTTTCCACCAGCATCCTCTTGGTCTAGGGTGAGTGAAGAAGAGAGGTGACCAGGGTGAGCAGGGCCACACCACACAGGAGCGATGGCTATGCACAGCACATCTGCTAGGCTGGGGGAGACAAGGCATAAGCCACAGGGACGGGGACCTTTGCACCCATACAGGTCACATTATGAAGGTTATAAAGGTTAGTTAACAAGGTGAGAACACAGCAATCATCATTTGACCTTTGGCAAATGATTTCACCACATGGGATTTAGATTTCACATTTATGAAATGAAAAATATGAATAAAAACCTTTAGTCTTGCTCATTTCTGACATCCTGATTATCACTGTTTAAACAACCTTACTTAACAAACTGCAAGCATACATATATCTGAAATAGGTGCCAAAAGAAAAATCTAGTAGGATAATATATTTTTAAATAAAAATCTTCAAATACTGTAAAAACTGTAATAAAAAGAACGCAAGCTGTATAGCAATGTGTTACTGTTTTTAGTACACATTTGTCAGGTACTGCACTCGGCATTACATTATCTTACTTCAGACTCCCAACAATCCTCAAGGTAACTACTGTCATTTTCAATTTACTGATGAGGAAATTCAGGCAAAAAAACTAAAGTAAGCTGCACAAAAATCAAAACACACCAAAAGAATAGTACATTTGGCTTCTGAACCCAAATCTGCCTGACTCTTGAGTTCAAGTTCTTAAATAAAATCTAGTTATATATAAATCTATGACATATAAAAATCTAAAAAGCAAAGAAAAAGATCGCCCCTAATACTAACTTAAAAAAGTAACAATTCTTAATATTTTGGCATATTTCTTTCCAGTGTTATTGTGTATGTATATGATATAAAATATACACTCTATCCAGAGAGACAGAGAGAGAGAGACAGACTCAGGCTAAGAAATAAAACACTGTTCATCTCACCTTTGAGGCACCCTATGCACTCCCTTTAAAATCAGCTTCCACTGTAAAAGCAGTAATTTACATAATGAAACTATAAAAAAGAAATAGTTACCAATATATTTGTATCCCTAAGCAGCATAGGTTAGCTTGTATATTTTCTTTTGTGACTTACTTTTCACATAACTGTACTGTTTACGAAATATAACTTGGTGCAATTACACTGCCATATAGCATTCCACTGAATGAAAAAACCACTAGTTATTAATTGTTCTACTGATTGACTTTTTGTTTTTTTCCTAGCTTGGGAAATAAATTGCTGTTACAAAGAATATTGCTCTAAATACCCTGCATGTATCTCCTACAACACACTACAACAGCTTCTTCAGGGAATTTACCTAGGAGAATTCTTCCTAGATAATTAATAGAAGAATTACCAGGTGATGCTAGTTTGTTTTCCAGTGCTCATATCAATTTACACTTCCAACAGTATAAGCCCTTCTGCTGCTCCCCACTCAAGCTAAAACTTGGTGGTGTTAGACTGTTCACTGTATTTCTTCAACTCTAAGATGCACATTTCCCCACAGTAATGTATCTGAAAATGTTATGTCCTTCACAGCCATTATTTAGGCAGGCAGTGGAGACACAGGCAGTGAAGACAGGAGGCTGAGCATGTACCCTAAAACTTGAGCATGAAGGCCAGACAACAGAAGAGCAGTGTTTTTTGAAGCAGGTTATGTTTACAGGATAAATCCTGAGGGTACTTGACTGACCTTATCAGATACAAAAGTTGCATTTCTTTTTATAAAGATCTTGCTTTATCTTGGTCTTAACTATCCAGCAGAAAAGTACAAAAAAGAAGTATATCAAGTAAAGCCATATTAATATGCTGAGCTGTGAAAGGCTCACATCAACAACTTCTGCAGATAATCCACTACTGTTGTGGACTGCTGGACTTTGTTGGATTGATTTGCTGAATTCAAGCACCTATAGTATTTAGATGCCAAAGGAAAACCCATTTCTGACAGGACTAAATAAAAAAAGACTATACAAAGGAAGGACCATTTTGTATCTGTATATGCAGAATAGTTAGGATGGATACACAGCTACTTTCGCCTAATTCAATGAGAAGAAAGATTTGTACTAACAGTGTTTGGACAGGATATTCTGTCTGCATCTTGTACTACGGATAACCACTAAGAAGATAACAATGTACAATATATTAATTATTGAAACTGTCCTATTAATCAGTTTTAAAACTGTCTCACTGATATTTGTATCTCAATAAAAAAGAAGCAGATTATGTTATTTATTTTTCATACCACAATTTATGGATCAGGCCCACATAATTTAATCAATGTCCTATCCAAAAACAAAGAAATGTTGGATCAGAGATTTGAAGCTAAATGACTTTGTTAAATCTTTTACATTCTTATCTTTTATTGCTTTTAAAATATCTAATTTTTTTAATGTATTTTTAGTACAGCATCCACAGGGTCTCACTACAGTCTCATAGTGATCCTCCTGTTTTCAGCCTCCCAAGCACTAGGACTACAGGCACGTGCCACCATGCCCAGTCTCAATTGCTGTCGCAGCGCACCCCAAGGGCGGGGCTGCAGGGATCAAACCCCAGCCTCTGTGCTCTGCCTAAGCAATACTTTGTATTTTTATGCTGCTTTTATTTAACTTTTTTTAAAGAGAATTTTTTTTTAAAGACATTAGAAATGATACAGAATTTCACTAAACAGGGGCTGGGGGTATAGCTCAGTAGAATAAGTGCTTGCCTGGCCAACTGCAAGGGCCTGAGTTCAATCCCTGGTTTCACCATTTAAAAAAAAGAGAGAATTTCACTAAAACAGATGGTAGTGCTGAGGCAGAAGGATCATGCTAAGTTCAAGGCTACCTGGTGAGTTCAAATCAGCCTGAACTACAGAATGAAACCCTGCCTCAAAAAGAAGAAAAGTAAAGTAACATCACCAGTACTGTGTTGTGTTTTGTTCTCTTTTTAGTCTTTTTGAGATAGGGTCTCACTATGCAGTTCAGGCTTGTCTTGAGTTCACTTTGTAGCCCAGGCTGGCCTCAGATTCACAGCGATCCTGCCGAGGGCTGGGATTTCAGGTGTGCGCCACCACACCCAGCTCACCAGCATGTCTGACAGTGGGAAAATCACAAACATCAATGACTCTGAGGAGACTGTCAGAAATTTTAAAATATCAATCTTGATATAATAATACAACAGTAAAAATTTCTTCTACAAGAACAAGCACATTTTAGACTGGGCGTGGTGGCACGTGCCTGTAATCCCAGCTCTTGGGAGGCTGAAAACAGGAGAATCACTATGAGTTCTGATCTATGTAGTGAGACCCTGAAGACCCTGTACTAAATACAAAAAAAAAGAAAGAAAGAAAAAGCACATTTTATTTCCTCCTGCAATTGAGTACTGCTTCATGTTATAAATGATTACCACCTACAAACTGAAAAAAACAGGAAAACCTTTCATAAACAAAATATAATAGAGATGAAGCTAGCTGACAGCCCTAAAAATGATGATATTCTGACTTGGATGACTCTTATTTATAAAAAATTAAATTTACAACTAAAACCTTATTAATAGTGACTGTCTGTGTAAATAGAGAAAGACATCCAAACAACTGTGCCATTCTGCCTGACACAGAATAGGTACTCAATAATTAATACCCATTTCTACACATAAGTGATCACTGCTCTCAGGTTAAATCAAAGGCACAAAAATTTTCTCATGTCTGTAAAACTAAATTTATTGAAGTCAGTTAAAATTACTCTGTTTTTAGCCAGGAATGGTGGCGCACACCTGTAATCCCAGCCCTCAGGAGGCTCACTGTGAATCTGAGGCCAGCCTGGGATACAAAGTGAACTCAAGGCCAGCCTTAACTGCTTGGTGAGATCCTGTCTCAAAAACAAGACAAAAAGAAAAAACAAAGATTACTCTGGTGTTTGTTTCTTTTTTTGCGGAACCGGTGATTGAACTCAGGCCCTTATTCTACTATCTCCCCGGCCCTATTACTCTGTTGAAGTAAAATTAGAGTAGACACAACTCTGATTTCAAGTAAGATGTCTGAATTTTAAAACTGTTTTAAAGAAAAGCTTATAGAGGACAAATCATGCTTGCTTTTAATTACTGGTGTATGCTATTTAAAACAAATACAGTTAATTCCAGATTAACATGATCTTAAAATTAATATTATCTATTATATTACTAGTATATTTTAAAGCAAGAGTAAGTGATGGTCTCCCCCCATTGCCCAGGGAACCAGTACACATGTGGCATCGCCCACGGCTTACCTTGTTGCGGCATTCCTTCAGCAGACCCTCTACAAACTTCCAGTTGGTCTGAGCAATGACTGACGGAGACAGGTTGGATAGTTTGGGCTGGCGGATAGTGCTGCCCATATTCCTGGCTTCCTGGATGTACTTCTACATCAAACAAAAATCAAAGACCCTTTTTGTCCATGCACACAAACCAGGGGCAACCACTACTAATGGGTACCCGAAAAGGGCACTATCACAGTTATCTCTCAGTGGCCTCTTTCTGGCTCAGAGAAATCTGGATTTAAAAGTTTAAAATGGGGGAACTACTCACTCAGGTCCCCCTCCTGTCCCTCTCTCAGACAGAAGCTTTCTTTCCCTTAATAAATATATTCTCATAAAAAAAATAAAAGTTTTAAATGTAATTCTTATACCAAAGTGAAAAACATATAATATGATTTCTGGGTTTGTTTTTGTTTTGTTTTGTTTTTTGGTAAAGCACTCCATGAGTGCTATAATTACCATTATCTAAAGATCCAAAAGGCAAGGCTACAGATAAAACAAAAACAGGGCATCTGTGTTCTATACACAAGGCCTGGGCTTGATCCTCAGCCCACCAAAAAAAAACCCCAAAAAACAAAACAAAAAAACACATAACCCACAAGAACTAAAAGATGCATAGCTATAGCATGTGTGCATGCTCAGTGAGTAAATTTAATCAAATTATCATTGAGAAACTAATTTGCTCCACCAAGTTGAAAATAATTAACCTCTTCTGCCCATATCAAAGATATTTATTCTAACCTTGCTAAATTAGAAAAAAATAAGATCACATACTCAAAACAACTGCATATGTTGCTTTTCTACCATTTGCTGATTTTCCAGAGTTTTCATCTGATATTAATACAATTAACTGCACACTCACGTCTCACTATCCTATATTCACCAACATTTTTACCCTGTACTTGTACCTACCAAGTATTTATTCTAGCAGCACAACTCTGTCTATTCTATGTTCTGACCCCTTAATCTGCCCCTACTATCAAATCCCAAGGTTAAGGTTTAATTCCTAGCACATGGACCAGCGCCACTTGCCTAACTTGCCTGGTATCTATACCTCCCACCTCCAAAATATTCTGTTCTCAGCTTGCTTTATATAAGATACACCACGCTTTCAGTCTTGCCATTTCCTTTACTTGAAATGCTCCAATGACCCTACCATCCTCCAAAGCTTCGCATGTTCATGACATGGCTATAATTTGCGTCTGACTGCCTGGTAGCTCTGAACCATCATCAGTACATGCATTGGCTATACCAAGCAGAATGGGCAAGCTACCCACAAACCACCCCCCAGCAGAACTGATCTCTGCTTTCTCTCACCAGTACCCCTCATATCATCACTTCAGGGTTAATGTCATCCCTTTCTCTTTTCTAAGGGAAAAAAAAACTCAAGATAACCTGTTTTAAATTAAAATACAGAAAAAAGTGCCCCCCCCGCCACAAATTCACAATTTTAACCTAAGTTCACTCTTCCTCATTTTCACTCTAACCAAATTAACTCCTGTCCTACCACAGCACAAAAAAAAAAAAAAAAAGCCAGCCAGTGAGATGGTATGCATCTGTAATCTCCGCACAAGATTTTGAGGCTGCAGGACTGAGTGCAAGACCAAGTCCTGCCTGGCAACTTAGTGAGACTTTGTCTCAAAACCCTAAAAATGAACATTCTAGGGTCATGGTCAGGTGAAGGTCCTGGGTTCAATTCCCAGTACTGCAAAAACAGGTAAGCTATAACAAAACCTTACTAATTTCAAAAGAATTTCTCCTAACTTTCTCACATTCTGAGGTATTTATTGCATCTTTAAGGAAATGCACATCACCTGTGGGTGAGTACAGTGAGGACCCCCATGGTCAGTGGCTGGCTGTCACCTGTTAACACTCTCTCTACATCCTGAATTGTCAGTATCATGTATCAAGAGCCAAACCTACTATTAACCTTTCTTTATGGGGAGAGGTCATTCCTAGAACACATGATTCAGACCAAAGACCAGCGAAACAAAAGATATATACAGCATGACAATAGGGTCACTTCTTGTCATTCTTAAGGTTTCTTACCTCTCTTTGGTCATTATCTAAACGCAGGTGTTCTGTATGCTGCTTCTGCCGGTCTTTCCGCCTCCACTGGGCAGGGGCATTCCTTTTTGTCCACCTGAAAGAATCAAAGCAAGCATTTAAGAACATCCTACTGCTGGACAAGGTGATGCCTGATTGTAATCTTAGTACTGTGGAAGAATCACTAGTTCAAGCCCAGCCTGGGCAACTTGAGAGACTTTGTCTCAAAAAATAAACAAGTGCTAAGGATATAACTCAGTGCAAAGGCTCTGAGTTCAACCCCTCAGTGCTGGGTTGAGGGAGAGTAAGGTCAACTAACAAGAGAAAACTTGAGTATCTAGGGATCCATACTGAGCACAGGATACCACTAAGTCACCAGCAACAGTTCAAATACGCTAAGGAAGTATAGCTTAAAACTCAGCACTTTAACAGAAGAGAGCGGTCTCCCCATGGAATATAGATATATCTGTCTTAAAGTTATAAAAACTACACATGCAGACTTGAAGCCATAGTCACTTAGCTCTCCCTGGGCTCTGATATACTCATCTCTCAAAGTAAATAAAGAGCAATTCAGTTACCTGCTTGCAGTGCAGGCTCAAATTATTCCAGCCACTACTTACTGAACAAGGCTGGCTTAGCTGCTGTACAAGATCCAGGCATAAGATGACTTGAACTCACATCTAGCATAGCTTTTTGTAGGTCCTAACCATGTGCAACTATCTCAATTTGCACAATGAAAACAGAAGCTGACCAATACTCTACCACTTCTTTTCTCATTCCAACAAACAAAAACCCTACATAATTGGAGACCTTTCCGTATTTGCTTTAGAAAATTCTGAGGTCTTTAGGGGACACCATCTTCAGTAAAGAAAACTGAATGACTCTCATGAGTATGGCCAGACCTGGGCCACATAACCTCCGGGACTGACTTACTTGTTGCTGGCTGGCCCCGTAGAAAGTACATCAAACTGGAGCTTAGGGAAAAAGCCCGGCTCATACTTCCCTTGTCCAATCTTCATGTCAAGTAAATGTGGATGAACTGCAGTATGATCAATTTTTGCCAGGCGCAGCTCAATTGCCTTCTCTGGATGAGAATTAAAAAAAAAAAAAAAAAAAAAAATCTAAGTCGAATATTTTTTCACTTTAGGCCAAAATGGAGTAAAAGAGACTGGTTTTTACCCTCCTACCTGAAATAACAGGAATAAAAATTAAACACAGGCAAAGTATATGAAAAGATGAATTTGGACACATTGGACATCAGAGAATGAAGGACAGAAATCTCTGAGAAACAAGAAACAGATGAGGTAATTACTATAATAGCCTCAGGTAACTGGAGTGAGAGAATTTCTGGGCTGGGACACAAGGAAAGGATATTCAGGCAGAATCCAGTAAAGGTTTTAAAGGAGTACACAAACCTCATCCAGAGCCAGGAAGCTGCCAGGCTAGAAAACCTTGATATTCCCAGCACCTTGAGGACTCAGAAAGGTCTTGTCTCAATAATGGAGAATTAGCCATTAGCAGGATTGAGTACTTACTGTCAAATAGGTTTTAAAAGGAAAGACCAGGGGCTGGTGAGATGGCTCAGTGGTCTAAAGCACCTACTTAGAACAAGCTTAGCAAAGCACAGGGACCGCGGTTCAATCCCCCAGCACCACATGCCAGCCAGCCCCGCCCCCTGGTGGGCTGAGCTGGCCACACACACACACACACACACACACACACACACACAAATAAATAAATAAATTTAGGGGCTGGTGAGATGGCTCAGTGGTTTAAAGTACCTACTTAGAACAAGCTTAGCAAAGCACAGGGACCGCGGTTCAATCCCCCAGCACCACATGCCAGCCAGCCCCGCCCCCTGGTGGGCTGAGCTGGCCACACACACACACACACACACACACACACACACATAAATAAATAAAAAAAAATAATAATTAAAAAAATAAAAAAAATTAAAAATAAAAAATAAAAATAAAAGGAAAGACCAAAACTATTTTAAAGTAACTACATCCCAGAACAAAGAGCAAGAATATTCATGGGAATACTTTGTAGTCAGGACCAAAGGGGTAAAAGTTCCTAATCAAAGATTACCAAGCATGGAAAAAAGCCAGCTACTACATCTGATGAAAAATAGACATTTTATACACACACACACACACACCAGCAAAAGGACTCAAACCTGACACAAATGTTAGAATTAGACAGGGTTACAGATTTCAGAAGAAGGCACAGGAGGCCAGGGCAGTGTACTTCTGAGAGAGCGTTGCATGAAGCTGTGTGAAGGCAAAAGTGCAGCGGAGACCCAGAAGTCTGGAGAAGCCAGAAATGTGGATCGCCCCAAGGAAAGCTGCAGGGAGTAGCCAGAGTCAACCCAAGAAGGAGGCGGCTATGGGGGGCTACGGCCACCTCCAGGGCTGCAGGGGCAGAGCCACCCAAGCCGTTTGGAGTTCACCTCTTGCCACAGGCTTCTGTGATGTGCTACATGGAGCTATGGGCCTTGATGCTTGCCAGGTTTTGGACTCTTTTAGTTCCATTCCTTTTTATCCACATTTATACCTTTTAGAATGGTAACATCTATCTTGTGCCACTGAATGTTGGAAGTGTTTAACTTTCTTTTCACTTGTACAGGGGATCACAGTTCAATTTATCTTATGTGATGGAGCAGTGGAAGTCAGAATTCAGTGAACTGCAGGAGCTGTCCAGTTCTGCTTTGCCTTGAAAGTATCATCAATTTACAGTTTAACTACAAACGCACAGATAATATTTCATAGACAGATCAAAATCAACACATCAAAGCTTCAAAAACTTTGACAAAGAGTTAAGGTTAAGTATATGTGGCCTATATTAAGTGGTATTTTTATTAACTGTGTCCGACCATATAAAATGTTGATATTTAAAAGGAAACCTGGGGCTGGTGAGATGGCTCAGTGGTCTAAAGCACCTAGAACAAGCTTAGCAAAGCACAGGGACCACAGTTCAATCCCCCAGCACCACATGCCAGCCAGCCCCGCCCCCTGGTGGGCTGAGCTAGCCACACACACACACACACACACACACACACAAATAAATAAAATTAAAAAAAAAAAATGTTAAAAGGAAACCTGGCCACCTTCATAACTATGACAAAAGTACTAGGTATAATGCCAGAAGAAAATATGTAGGCAGTAGCAGATTATCTGACAAAATACTTCTCAAAAGTGGTAATATACCATATTTATTTTTATCATTAAAGACATTTAATGTGTTTGCTGGGTTTTACATTTTGACCAATCAGGATTCCACATGATCAATATATGGACCACTTCTGAATTTAAAAGACTGAACTGTGTCTTTTAAATTGACTTAGTTTATTAAATAACCTTTCTCTGAATTTCAGAATGAAACATGTTGCTTATGACAAAATTTGAAATTTGATGTACCAATTGAGTGTTTTACAAGCTTTGCACCATAGAACAGAAATATGTTAAGAATGACATATGTTGAATGTTGATGGGTATTTGCACAGATTTGACTTGTTCCTTGACAAAGCTAGGACATTAGGGAAAGGTACTGAATATGAATGAATGGGATAAGCAGTTGAGAACCTGTCAATAAAAGGATCACAAATCACTGGTGTTTAAAAGAAGTTTATCTTAAATCTCAGGGAGGCTCTAGACTTGGACTTTACACCAATGCTAAAACTGTTAGGACTTTGGCAGCTCTTAAAAGATGGACTAAATGCCTTATGCCTTATG